TAGTGAGACCCTGTAGATGCTGTACTAAAAATGTTTTTAAAAACCCAGAAAAATAATAACAGGTATTTGAGGAACTGTAGGCTGTCCTTCATGAGGTCTCTTTTTCATAAGGGCCAGTACGTATTTATTGACAAGGTAAAGGGCGGCAAGAGGGAAACACAGGAAATCAGGTGAAGATTTTTTTAAAAGCTACGACTGGAGATCCCATTCAAGCCAGGTATTTCCCTCCTGGGTATTTTTCCAGAAGAACCAAAAACCTCAAACCATAGGGATATATGTGCACCCATGTTTATAGCAGTGCGATTTGTCATAGCTAAGTCCTGGAAACAACCCAGATGCCCAGCAACTGAAGAACTGATAAAGAAGATGTGGTATTTCTACACAGTGAAGTATTAGCTATAAAACAGAATAAATCTGAGTCATTTGTTGGTAAATGGACACAACTAGAGAGCATACTCGAGCCAGGGATATAGCTCAGTAGAATAAGTGCTTTCCTGGCAAGTGGAAAGGCCTAAGTTCAACCCCCAGTTCCGCAAAAAAAAAAAAAAAAAAAAAAAAAAAAACCACAGAGAGAGCATACTCTACTTAAGTGAAATAAATCAGATCTGCATGTGCAAACATCATATTGTCTCCTTAGTGTGAGAACCTGAAAGAGAAAAATGGCATCTGAAGGATACAATAGACACCCGGAAAAGGGAATGAACTTATTCAAAAGGAAAGAGTTACTGAGTTGAGGAGGAGGACAGGAGAGGTAGAAGAGGAAAGAGATTTATCTATGTATGTAAGCAGGATGGTTTGGACAACTGTACTGTGCATTTCTGCTGGTCTATGGAAAGAAGCGTTCATGCTTTAATTTGTTGCGTCTCCTTTTTCCAGTTTTGTACTTTTTCTCTTCTTAATTTCTTTTTTTTCTTTCCTTTTTTTTTTTTCTTGCAGAACCAGGGATTGAACTCAGGCCCTTGTGCTTGCCAGGGAAGTGCTTATTCTACTGAGTCATCTCCCCGGCCCGCCTCTTCTTAATTTCTTTTTTCTTTTTCAATTTTGCATGTATCTATCTGGTAATATGAATAAATGGTTGGAAGACAACATTATGTATTGCAACAAATACTGTGAAATTCATATTACTTTATTAAGTGAAATTCTGTATCACTTGTAATTTTTTGTTTTAATTCTAATTTGTACTTTAAATTTTTTTTTTTTTTTTTTACAAAGAGAAACACAGAAGGGCAGAATGAGGCAAGCAAAAGTGTTACTATGTTACTCCATAGCTTGAAGCCACTCACTAGATTCTCACTGGGTCTAAAATAAAATCCAAGTCACTTACAATGCACTCCATGGGGTGTCCCCCAACTTCATCTGCACACCACCCCTCCCTTACTAACATGCCTTAGACATAGCAGGCTGCCTGGGGCACTCTCCATGTCCGCTTTGCACATGTCACCCCTTTATCTGCAGCAATCTTTGTGCCTCTCTGACTGATGGCTTCTTTCTAGGGCTCAAGTTTTGGTAACAATTCCTCCCCCCCAGGCAGGGTTTCCCTGAGCATCGGCCTAAATAAGCTTTCTTCACCAATGACTTCGTAATACACTGCTTTTTATTTCTTTCATGATAATTTTCAACACGATTATGTCTTGTTGACCAACAATGCCTGAATCAGTATTCTGTATACAGCAGACACAAGATATAATGTCCAAAAAGGTATATGAATAGTCCGTTTCAGAGATATTTGCCTCAAGGTACAAAAATGAAACTCAGTAGATTTTTATTTGTAGATCTAGATCTGTGAATCTATTTATGAAAACTTGAGGGCTATAGAGATAGCTCAGCAGCATAAGTGCCTGCCTGGCAAGCCAAAGGTGCTGAGTTCAACTCTCAATACAAAAAAAAAAAAAAAGCAGAGGGCCAGGGAGATGGCTCAGTAGGATAAATGCTTGACTGGCAAACGCAAGGATCTGAGTTCAATCACCGGTTCTGCCAAAAAAAAAAAAAAAAAAAAAAAAAAGAATCAAAAACAAAAAAAAAGCAGAATATACTGAATAAGAGCTGGGGTTGTGGACCAGTGGTATAGAGTTCTTGCGCTGTATGCACAAAGCCCTAGGATCAATCAGCAGCACCACCAAAAAAAAAAGAAAACTTGTAGTAGAAAGTTAATACTCAAGGAACTTTGAGAATGTTTCATGTCAAAAAATTTAAGTTTCTGAATGTGTACATGCCCAGATAAGGTGAAATGCGGCACTGCTCGCTCTTCATTTCAGGTCTCACACCAGAAGCAAGTATCTTTTCGGTGCTCTGTGCTGTGCCACACTGTGATCAGGTTTCTGCTTTTTGCTGCTGATTTCACTACTTACGTGGCCTCCATTCAGCGCTACCGCGCCCTCTAGTGTTCATGTCTGAAAGGCTGCACCTTACAGACAAGCTGGAGTCAGTGTTCACTGGAAGCTCAATGTCAATAAATCCACCGTATTCTTTAAATAAGGAGTCTTTAAACAGAAATACACATACACTAGGTATTGACTGTCTGATAGAAACGTTGTGATCAGGGGCTCACAGAGATCTAGCTCTGTACTTCCCCTGAGAGAAAGGTTTGGTAGTTACTATTCAAGTTTCTGCTTTTAGTAAGTACAAATACAGACTTAGAAACATGTTGCTGAGCTGTAAGCTACCCTTAAAGCATTAAGAGAGAGAACAGTAAAGGCTTCCAGGTATGGTGATGCACTCCTTTAATCCCAGCACTTGGAAGGCTGAGGCAGGAGGATTTCTGTGAGTTTATGGACAGCCTGGACTACAAAGTGAGCTCCAGGCCAACCTAACCTGTATAGCAAAATCCTATCTCAGAAACATGGACGGGGAAAAAAAGCAGTGTATCATCATTATCACTTTCTCTCCCTAAACTGTTTTCTTTTCTGAAAATATACCACTGCAGACCAACTTGTACATTTCACTCTCTGAAACGTATATGTTACTTCCTCTTTTCCTCTCTCTCTCTTTTTTTTTTTTTTAAAAAACAGCCAAATAAAGCTTCACTCTGCACCAGAGATGGCGAGCCTTTCAAAGTTTTCAATGACAACAAACAGCCTGCTGGGGCACACATGCCACTGGCTCACCACCGCTCCATGAGTACTTACCTTGGCCAAATCAAAAGGTGTTTTGACGCCTACGGTTGTGTCAAGTTCAACTACAGCAGGAACTTCCTGTCTGTTTCTTCCTTTCCGCCTACCCCGCTTTAGCTGGTCTCCCGATCTCTGCCCATCTAAAATTTCTTTTAGGAATAATGCACAAACAGATACAGATTGATAATAGCAAGATATATTAATGAACTTCTATAGCTAATAAACAGAAAACACTTCATATTTAGAATCAAGACATCAAATTGAGCAGAATTCTTCTCAACCCAGAAATTGAATGCATTATTTTCAAGATTGTAGTCAATGGCAAGTAATTCAAACAAATGCTACAAGCATTAAGATCTGACATTTTAGATGACATAATAATGACGATCATGACTTAAAGCACTTAGTTTAGGATCCTTAGTACTACTTACATAGACAACTTTAGGTATTATACTATAATCAGTCAACATTTTACTTCCATGTAGGATCTATATAACTGAAAAATGTGTTTTTCTCAAAAAAGTTATTCTTTTGTAGTGCTAGCGATTGGCCTTGGGGCCTCACACATGCTCCACAATAGCTCTCCTAGTGGACTATATTCATAGCCCCTGAAACAAAGTTCTTTAATTCATGTATATGTTTTTCAAATTATTTCGAAGCCATATTTACATCTTGTTTTTTCTGTTTTTTGCAGAACTGGGGATTGAACTCAGACCCTTGTGCTTGCCAGGCAAGCACTTATTCTACTGAGCCATCTCCCTGGCTATATTTACATCTTAAAAGCTATTTTTGTGATACTCAGTAAGTTAAAAATGTCTGACACATATGGTGGCACATGCCTGTAACCTAGCTACTGGAAGGTTTAGGAAAGAAAACTGAAAATTCAACTCCAACTTGAGCACCTTCACAAGGCTCCATTTCCAAAAACAAATTTAAAAAGAAGCCAGGCGTGGTGATGCACATCTATGACAAGCCCAGCACGCTGGCACGCTGAGCAAGAAGGTCACAAGTTCAAATCCAGCCCAAGCAACTTAATTAGACTCTGTCTCAAAATAAGTAATTATAGTTAGGTGGACAAGTAGCTCAGTGAGAAGGTCCTGGATTCAACCTCTAGTATCACAATAAATAAATACACATGAGCTACAGAGGTAGTGCAGCACTAGATCATTTTCCTAACACAAGGTCCTAGATTCAGTGTCCAAGTTCTTTAAACCTGCTCATTAACAATAATTCTTAAACATTTATCTATTGTACTAATATTTAAATATTTAAATGTAAAACCTGAA